TCGCGTAGCTGTAACAGGAATTCAGTTTGTAATGACTAGTAGTGTAGAAGGTGAAAGAAGAATGAGTTTGAAGTTTGAACGCATTCGACCCGAAATTCATCCAATTGCTCTATGAATTCTAACATTTGTTATATCAATATCCTTCAACTTTCTTGCGGCTAGCATCGAACAGAACTGACCCTCACAAAGTGAGGGCTTTCGAAATGGGATAGATTAATCGCATTCATGGTTTCAGGCCTGACCCCACATTCCATGTATGCTAATTCTGATTAAAAAAAACTTAAATGATTAAGAACATGAAAAAAAAAACAATGTAATATAAATTACGAGAAATCTGGAAGATTTTCTCTATCTCCAATCTTTCTCAACTCCATCGCTCAAAATTCTCAAGTAACAGCTAAAGACGACATCTATTGCATAAAAAAATGTAATCTGTGCTCAGTGTACCATCACGTTATCACTCAATGACGAATTGTGGTCTTTTTAAACAGCACCATTTGACACCTGTCTATCAAAGAACAGCTATTTTCGCGCCAAAAATACGAGACGCGCATTTCGACGCGATACCTCAAAGCACGGCATTGTGATTCCCGCCACGCGTTTGGCAAAACAAATCCGCTCGTTTATACTACTACAAAACTACATATTTTTATCGATTGAAATAAAATCAGATAAAGATCATTAGCTCTGGAGATCAATTTTAAGGGAAAACTGAACATACCAAGTTTAGATACTACATGAGTATTCAGATATCTAACTTTGCTGATTACGCGCACGAACCCTGTAACAGCACTGAAAAATTGTCAACTCAATCAATTTTCTTTTCGACAAGCTTGAAATTTTTTAGATACCTATTGACCCACCTGAGATCTGCTCAGCAGTGAGTGGGTGATACGGCATTTTGAGTTGGTCTTGAGAAGACTGGTGGCGCGATCTGCGCAAAGATCGCAGGAGTCTTATGAACCCACAGCAAGAAGACGGCATATTTCGTAATCCCCTCAGAATTCTTCCTCTTCGTCTAGAAATGAGATGAAAGACTTTGCCAGAATATGGACAATTTCGCAGTCGAATAAGCCGTTTTAAGCCCAACGCTGTATTTCCTTTCCGCTCCGCACCTGAATCGCGACGTTTTACTGACTCACTGCCTGTTATCTATAAACAGACAACAGGCTTTAAACGTCACGTGGGTTACTATTAATATTCTAAAATTCGACAATTTCTTAATTTGCATTGGAAATAACCAAACTACGTCATATCTGTTCGCCCTAACCCTCCTAATGTGCTGGAAAAAATCATCCAACTGGTTCAGTCGCGCTGTTAATTAAGGGATAATTATTGTTGGAGGTTCTCATCAGGGAGATGGCTTTCACGATTATATTTGAGGCCAATTTATAGCTAGCGGTTAACATCTCTCCATTGTGGTCTCGAGAAATATTTACGGTTAATTGTTTTACGATTTACGGTTCAATTTTGTCGATTTTTACACCAAAAGGCTACATTTCTTGGCCGTTTTTACGGCAAACGGGGGGTTAACCTCGTTAAGACCTTCTGACTATGGTGGTTTTTAGTCGTGGATACGCGAAGCGTAGAAACGACTATTGTTGGGGTTAGAATATGCAAATTTGTCACTCACTCAGAAGTAAACAAATCGATATCTCAACGACAGACCAATTTCTATCGATTTTCCGAAATAATATCGATACGCGTCCATCGACTTTCCGAAGTAAACGCCGCGACGTTGAAACTTAATTCGACTTTTCTTCGAGGAAGTTTCGATTATTACTCGTTGCAGTTAGCTCACGTGTGAGCGAGTCAACGCCGTTTGGAAGACTTCAGGCGTGACTATGAGTGTAGACGCTGAATGCGAAGAGTTTTTGACTCCTCGAGAAGTTTGCTCTTCAAACCTCTAAGCTCACAGGGGGTCTGTGAGCCTTTAATGAGTAAATCTTACGCGCGAAGCTTTGATCAAACTTATGAGTTAACCTATGAGCACTCATCAGCAAAAGTACGTATGAATCAAACATAAGGTTAAACAAAGCTATTAGAAACATCAGTAGAACAACTGATCAGGCCATAATATCCAACCAAAACACCCTTGTGGCCAAGCAGAACGAAACGCAGTAAGAAGAGTTATCTAACAGTGACATAAATCACACTGGAAAATTACGGGAACGGAGAAAATGGTATTAGTAAAGGCGTCCGCTGTGATAGAGAACAATCAAGATTACCGTGGAAGAAAATTCGGAACCTATTTGACAAGAGTAACGCAATTTGGAGGTATGTAAGGTCTCATATTATGCGTAGCGTACCACATTTGTGTTGTTCGATGGCCGAAATCAAACAAGAAATACACTGGATTGTAAACACAACTGGATGGTTTAATCCGCCATCAAGGAATCATACTACCGGAACACTTGCATAGAATCGAGGCATGGTACCACAGGGAACCCAACAATACAACATTCGTCAGCGTTGAAAACGTTACCATCGTTTGATTAACGTAATTATCTTAAAACCAGAATGTGAAGCGACTACCTCTGCCGCACCCTTTCCTAACATGAGATTTTTAAACCTTTAAAAAAGGAGCAATTTTTCTTTCAAACTGCTTTGTATTTCCTTAAAGAATAGGTTAGTAACCTATTAGTTATATGGAGATAAGATCGGCAAGTTGACTTGAATTTTTTGTCTTTTCTGGTCGCTCGTTAATTGCTGCAATTATTTATATTAGAGAAGTTACATGTAATCACTTCAGCAGTAAACTGAGAGTGAAAGCAGTAAGTCATACCTGAAGCAAACACAAGCAAAAGATTTTATCAGCTCCAGCCAAAATGATCTCTCACACTTATACTATCCTACTATATTCATTACAAATTGTGCCTCCCACAAGATTTCAAAAAGTGATTCGGTTCCGCTGAAAAATATCAATTTGGTTTATCTCCGTTCTTGAAATTACAATCAACAGATGACTAAGTTCTAATCCATGTGTAGGTCATAGGTTAAAATTCTAAAAGTCAAAAGCCATCATCCAAGTGACTGGGTTAATTATTGTTCCCCATCATGTCGTTCATTTGTCTTCTTCCTTTTCATACACCATATAGACTCGCTTTAACTGAAATCCAGACATGTTCTTTTGTAAGAGACTCTCTCTTTCAAAGGCTCTTCCTGGCAACTCTGCTGGTTCTTTATCCGTGCATTGAACAGGTGCTGTTGAGGACATTTTAAATTAATACAACAAAAACATTAAAGTCCTGATAACTAGAAATGCTTTATAGTATCACATTATGATTCGTGCATGGTTCATCCGCTATCGTATTTGTTTCTCTTGCTAAACAATAATTTCTTACTTTTACGATACTTAAAGGCGGTACTGGGCCCTACGACGTTAAAAATGAAGCCAAATACTGTGTTTAACTATACCTGTGCTAAACTCATGGCCTACGTCTTTCTAACCTCGATTTAAGGAATAAAAAACCTTCTACGCGCTCTATTCTGTTTGAAAGCACGTAGGACGCGGAAACACTACGAATTCAAAGGTGTGTATGAGAGGTGTGGGTGGGGCAGGGCGGTGAAACGAGAATCGTATAATCGAGAGTTTCTCCTCACTTCTTAAGAATTCAATGCACTTCATAACTTCTTTACCACTGGATCACGGTAGATGCCAGCCGAAGCTTCCTTTCATGTACGATGACAGAGCGAATAACGATTAGCGAAGGGCTAACGAACGAAACGGCTATTGGCGTTAAATCAGACCTCTTATGGAGAAAGCCTGAGGCCCACTCGTGTAAATAACCGGCCCTTAAATCCGTTCAAGACGAACGTCAAAATTCTCGTGCTAGAGGCTATGAAAAGCCTTTGTGATAGATGTATTTTACAATTTATGCTTTGTTTTTACTTTTTTTATACCTCAAATTCAAACTTCGCAAAGTTCTAATAGAGAGGTTAAGGTGGTGCAAAATTTGTAGCCCACGA